ATATATATGGAATAGTTCAATAAGATCAATATTTAACAATACAGTTTATTAATTTGAATAAAAATTTTCTCATTTTTATCTTAATTATTTTTCTTATTGAAATAATTTTTGATCCATGTTAGATCGTTGTCAAACGTTTTATATTCAAATACAATATAGAAAAATTTTCAAATATAAAACATTCAAAATAAAATATAGGAAAATCCACAACTTTTTCATTTTACTAAAAAATACATGTAATACATCCGTAATAATTGCTACATTATTCAGTTTTTATTTCAAGAGAATTATTTATTTTAAATATTTTTCTAATGGAAAAATAGTTTCAAATATTTATATATGTGTTGTGCAAAATTTAAAAAGCAACTTTTTACAACTGCAAAAATATTCTGACTTTTTCTTCTACTCTCTTAGTCGTGCATAAGAAGATAAGGTCATTCCAGATTATAATCCAAGAAAAAGCGAGACCAGCTGCCTTCCAAATCCCTACTTTCGTGATAACTACTTGTTTTTTAACCCTTTGTCATAAGAGCGGCGAAAATGGCAGCACTCCTCGACGGTCGTTGTTATACCGACTAAATGAGTATTTTTACGAATTATGTTACTATAAAAGAAAATGTTCTACATTGTAGACTTACAATGCCGCCAGCAACACTTGGCCATAACGAACATTATGTTGTAGTCGTGGTTTGTGTCTGCAAGGGACGGCAACAGATGGAGAGTAATTTCGCTGGTCCTAATGAATTATTTTTGGCCAAGCTATTACTACTCAATGCGTAAAACAAAGGAACGACTTTTCGCGTTCGTTTCCTTGGTCTGTTCAAAACACGTTTGTTTAAAAAAAAAAAAAAATCATGTTAAAGCTATTATGTTACAATCAAAGATCATGACTTGTATTATGATATCGGAGAACTTGCACGAGAGGTTTTAATAAGGAAGATAACAAGAAACTTTTGGAGGAAGTCTTGTTATCATATTGGAATTTGTTACTATTTCGATGGAGAACAAAAGAAAAAGGCAAAACTGTAGGATAAAAATTGTAATATATATATATATATA